CGAAGTGGTGAATCCACAATACGACGAACATGTCAAACAAAACACAACAAATAAATTAGAACGATGAACATACAATATACATTTTCTCAAAAAAAAATATACAATATACATAAATAAAATAACAGAACAATGAAACTACAATCGGTGAGTTAAATATACAATGTTCGAGAGGTGAGGAAAATAAGTATAAAATAGCTTAGAATCAATGGAGAGACACATATATAATAAAATATTAGGGCTGCAAACTAAACCGACTAAAGATATATAATATCTAAACAGAAAGATCTAACCCGAGAGCCCAACCCCGGGACCTGTCTGCAAATTTGTCATTGTTGAAATGACAGTGAGTCGCTTGGCTACGCCTAAATCCTCAGAGACCATTGCATTCGGGAACGGACATGAGTAGAATGGTGAGAAGTAGTCGGCATATAGCACAGGGACTGAACCAGGTGACTGTAGCTACGGTTGGGTGGTGTATAACAGTCGGAAGCTATATTCACACTCTTCGGTTTCCAGAATCAACCGTGCTGGAACAGAGTGGCGAGATACATTGCACTGCCTGATGAAGTACTTCTGAGAATGGCTAGCAACTTGTGTAGGCCGGAGTCCTCATTGTCACATATTTCCACGCCAATCGCCTTTTCCAAGCTTTTGCAAACCCAACAAGAACAAAATCCTATGCTCTTCTTCTGTCCGCCGAGTTCCTAGCACCAAAATCAAATCCGTTAACACTCACACAAATTTAAGAAAAGGTACATTATCCTAACATACTTCTCCTGAATTGGTTTATGCATACAAGTCTATAGCAAATTAGCATTTGACAACAATTGTGGTTATCACAGACCGTAACCATGAAAACTGAACTAGGTACATGGAAGAAACGAAAACAAAATTAACATGGAAGGACCCCAAAATTCGCGAAGAAGTACATTTGAACACAAGCCTTGTCGACCGCGACAGACAAGGAAAAGAGTAGGGCAGAAACACAAACGAATCTCAAAGGAAGATGGAAGAGAACCTGATTGACATATAAATAGAAGCTGAGAACCTGATAGACATTATTCAAGGATGGATTGAAGCAAGATTTACTGATTTGGACATTGTAAGAGACCTTAGCCAGTCTTCATTCTTAATGAGAAACTCAGCAACCGTAGACTTATGATGGTTTTTGTTTTAGTAGAAAATCTTACGAGGATTTCAAGTATGTGTGCAGTGTTTGGGAGCCTTAAAAGTTGCAGCAGGATCAGCGGCAATGTTGAAGTTGGGAAGCTGTATGTAGTGAAAGAACTTCTTCACAAAATATATCTGAAACCAAGATAGAGAAATGGTTTCTATTATACTATGCTCCAAAAAACACCACTAGTTAACTGTTTCTACTATAAACAAATTCGGTAGAAAAGAGTGTCTCCTCGTGTATATGAAGGATGTACTGTGGTAAGGGAAGAAAAATATAAATTTTGCTCACTTTGCAACAATCTGATGGCGGATGCACTCTCTAAACATAGTACCATAGTGTAACGCCATGTCTGTGTTTTCGAATCTGAGAGAAATCATAAAACAAGTCATATGAAATGTATGAAGGAAACTCATGATGAAGATCTTAAAAGGAAATGCTTAATGCAACCTCAACTATATGATTAAACTCACCCTTGGACTAGAACATCCGAAAGATCAAGGTTGGATTGGAGATAATCAGACGCAATAAGACGTGAACTGACTTGCTGCCTCTGGAGATTTGCAACAACTTGTGTCGCATCTTTCCTGGCCTAAAAGAACATGTTATTGCATATCACAACTGAAATGGACCACGACTCATGAAACCAATTTCGACAGAACAGGAGCAAAGAATTTGAAAGTGTGTGTTTTGTTGAAACTCTACCTAGAAACTCACCTCGTTAAACAACTACTCATACCAACCTGAGGCTTTCTATCATCAAGCGCGAAGAGAAGGTTTACCAACACTGTTTACTAAGAGAGGATCCTCGGAAGCAAAAGATGTTTTGTTTTGAGGGAAACAAATCAACCAGAGAGACTAATAATCTCTCTATAGAAAAGAGTAGAGTAATCCATACACAAAGAAAGATAGATAGAAATCCATACATAACAAAAGAGAATATATAGGCATAGAAATCCAAACACAAAACAAAACAGTAGATTATAGATAGATATGTGGAATTTGATCAAATTTGTACATGATGCATTTGATCCTGGAGCCTTTTCGCCCTCAGCCGCTCTATTGCCGCTGCCAGTTGAGATGCCTCCAAATTCTCCCTCAACTCCTTGTGAAGCATCTCCGTCCACTCCTTGATGACTAATTCCCTTTCTTCGTTGTTCTTGCAGTTTTTCAGTCTCTCAGCAAGTCGGGCATTCCTATCAATAAATGGTTGCAACAGTGCAGCATAGCGTTCACCAATCTTGTCCAAAAGCTCAGGCTTGCCCCTCACAAAATCATCGCACGCAAATTCCAAGTGTTCTTCTCCAGTAACAATTTCACGAAACCCCTAACAAAGAAAGAAAGGGGAGTTTTGTTTGTTTTTCTCAATGTATTTGATGACCAAAAAGAAGAAGAAACTCACGTATGCTATAAACTTTGCGAAGCTGTAGATCTGCAAGTGCTTGGTAAGAAGGTCTCTCTTACATTCTAGCGGTTTCCAAACGATGAAACTGCTTCCATCAGGACCCCAAGATACTATCGAATCCGTTGAAGGATCATCCACCATTTCATACGCTTTCTTCACGAAATCAGACACATCGCTGAGTGATTTTAATTGGGGAACAAATCAATAACCCTAAGAAATCGGGATCATACCTCGAGATTATTTTTCTTGCCAACCCTAAGAGAATAATACGTTTTACAAATGTCTCACTTGAGAGAAGAGAATTGTAACATTGCTTTGTTTGTTCATTCCTGGTTATGATTTATATTCCTAACCAAGGCATATACATATATATTTGGTAAGCATATCTCTCTGACTTGATTTCCTTTGATTATTCTAGGAAATGCTGACTACTCTATATTTCATAAATTAATAACTAGACAATATATCTTCCTTGATCTGCTGAGGTTTTGCATTCGTTCTCATAGCTAAATATGTGTGTTTCATGATCTCAAGCCTGATCTCTTTTAGGTTCTAGCACAACAACTCCACTCAGCTGACGTTCTTGCTTCTCACAGAATCTCTATGATTCTTTTTAGAACCTTAAAGGAATTTTCCACTAAACGTCCGTCCGCAGATTAGAGAAACTTCGCTGAGTTGTGTCTGCTACTATATCATCATCACCTTTTCAATTTCCTTTCTTATCTTGCATGAAGTTGTTGTTGGACCACCAAAGCTCGGAATTTTTCTCATGTCAAGGATAAGGTCAAGTTTCAAGTTTCTCGTCGCAGTTCTTCGACTTTAGTTGGCACCTTTAGCAAACTGATGTCCAAACAATTCTGCGTGAATTTTCAACAATGGCTCAGAGGCAGCATCACGATGACTTGTGAGAGGTGGTTCTTATGTTTGAAAATAGTTTCTCTCAGTAGTTTCTCTTGCATGGAATTGTTGTTCTGCTTAAACAAGATAACACAACCTGAACTGGCATTGTTACCGTTTGAAGCATTTTTATTCAGTGTATGGGGATGGTAAAATCTGTGCTTGAATGTAAACAATATAAGCCAAGTCTAACTGGTCGCGTGAGGGATGAGAATGGAGTTAACATTTGAGCAGAGGAAGAGGAGTGCTTCAAACACAGTTGGTCGCATTGTGTATGAAAGGATAATTCTTTTGTGCAACATACTAGTGAGAAGGTAACACTCAAACCAACGATAAGATATGTGAATGCAAATTGTTTGGTTCTCTCTTACTTACGAAGCTGTTAATTTTGTTTTCTTCTATGGCTTAGTTCTTATTAAAGTAATTTGAAAGTAGAGAAGTTTCAGTTACCAAATTCCAAAACAAAATATGAGTATCCGAAATTAAAGATACGATACTTGATTTGCATCGAATAGATGAGGAGGCATTGTTACAACCGGTGACTTGTGGATTTAGTTTGAAAAATATTGCATTGCATCTAGTCAATTTTTTTGGTGTGAACTGTGATGCTGCAATGTTTGCCTATACAATCACCATTCCCTGCTAGTTTTTAGTTATAGAAATGATGCCTGGAAGAGTAGTTTACCGAAATTTAATAATTGATATTCCAACAGGTATTTTGTTTTAACAGCAAGTGACCTAGAGGAGTGCTACCAGAACCCTGAGTCCTTTCGTCATGAGCAGGACATGATTCAGTGGACACAGAAATTGAGGCCTTGTGCTTAAGCTCTGTATATGGTTTCATGTCGGTCTTTCTTTTTTAGTCCTAAGCAATAGCTCTATTCCAAACTGCTCTACATGTTGAAATGGGTGTTTTTTTTTCATTATCCGACTTATTTTTTTTTGTATTGCATCTACTCGTGTGCAGGTGGATGATGCGTCTCCCATGCAAAAAGACATTTGGCTTGGCTCTTTCCATAATACTTACGCTTAGAATGCTTCAAGTTCTTGACAAACTTGATCAAACACTAAGGTATAGGCTCGCACAATCAAATATTGACAACTTGATAAATGTATCTATGTGGTATAATTGATCGTGCTTCTGGAAATAGTACATGCACCAGTGTGATCCTTGGTGGAAACAAAGACTTAACAGAAGAGGGATCAAGGTTTAGTGTAAGACGTTATCTACTTGTTTTGTTATTTGCTACTGAACTGTTCACAACACCAAGTGTAACAAATCATACCATTTATAATTCCAGCGATGACTTGAGTTCAAGCAGGTCTCGAGGAGAGGAAACCCGACCAAGCAAATAGTTACGGGTACAAGTTAATAATTCCGTATTCTTCTTTTTTTTTTAATTCTACCATTAGTAGGATGCACCCATCGGCGCTTGCACACGTGAAGCAAGCGTTGAATCAACGTTTTGTTTTGCCTCTTCATTGTCTGTTTCCTTATCACTGAAAGAGCAGGTGAGTTTCTGGTCCCTCGATATTCTTCCTTCTCAGTGTGTAGTAGCATGTGTATGTGGTGACGTATTTTGACCATTTGATCTGACTCGCCACTTCATATCTGTTGAGGTGAGTGAGCTGTTTTACCTTTACTCTTACAGAATTGATGGGTGTTACATAGACGTGGTTGTTGCATTGTGTCCTCCTCCGACCTTGGTGGTTTGAGGAACTCTGCACATATCTTTGGTGAGGTAGGTCCGCATGCGTCGGCGAGAGTTGTGAGGAGTCTAACAAAATAGGGAGATTTGAGAGATGTTTTCGGGCCAGTCTTGCACAATATACTGTACGATGGAAAATGTCGCAAAGTTTGCTCCCAAAAGCTGATATGTAACACTTGATAAATGGTAATAAACAATGATGTGCTTATCTCTTGATTATAGATTTTTTAAATAAACCATGGAGTTTTTAGGCGTTAAAAGCTCCCATCTGTTGGTGGCCGAAACAGAAACTGATACTTTTTTCCAAAGGAAACACAAGAGAGGAGTTCATCTTCATGATGATGACCAAGAAATCCAAAAATGCAACATTGATCAACTACTTCTTTTAAGTGTTTCTCCTATGGCTCTTCACTTCCGGTACTGTCAGATCTCTTTTGCGACACCGTCTGTCAACGAGCCAACATCGTGATTCTTCCCGCAACAACAAGTAGAGAGTAGACATAGAAAGAGTATCTCATAAACACAAGAGTAGATTGAAATCCATTTACTAACAGTAGCGAAGAGATAAAGATAGATAGATGAATTTGATGGATCAAATTCGTACATGTTGATCCTCGAGTGCTAGTGCTGCTGCGGCCTTTGCCTCGAGTGCATGTTGATCCTCGAGTGCTAGTGCTGCTGCGGCCTTTGCCTCGATTGCTGCCTCCTCTGCCTTGAAAGCTGCAGCTGCTTCCCGGTCCTTTTGAATTGCCTTCATAAATGACTCGTTCTGCTCCATTCTCTGCTTTTCCATGATCTCCCAATTCTCTCTGCGGGCTACTTCCAGCTCTTCTTTGGTCTTGCACCTTTTGGGTCGATCTCGTATTGGTTTATAATTCTTATCATAGAATGCTTGCAACCGTGCCACATGGCGTTCACAAATCTTGTCCAAAAGCTCAGGCTTGCCCCTCACAAAATCTTTGGAAGCAAATACCAATTGTTCTTTTGTACACACAAGTCTACGAAACCCCTAATGGTACAACAACATAAGCAAGAAAGAAAGAAAGGAGATCTAGTTAAGTTGTATTTGAAACTCACTCACATAATAATCAAATCGTCCGAAGGCTATGACTTGTAAGTATTTGGGAAGAATGTCTCTCTTACATTCTTCCGGAAGCCAAACAATGAAAGCCCTGCCGTCGGGAGCCCAAGCTACTATTGGATCCGTTGAAGGATCATCAACCATTTCATACGCCTTCTTCAGGAAATCAGAGCATTTCTTTCTCTGCAAACTCATCATATCCATGTCTTATCTACAAGATGAGATTTACATTTACATAGAAATCATACCTTAGAACTATAATCTTGCCTGAAGATCGAATCGGAGGTGAGAGAGGATTTTTTTTTTGCTAACCCTAAGAGGAAACCGCGATTACAAGTTATATATTGATTCATTTGGGCAATTTAGTTTGGGCCTTTTTTGCATCTAAACGCTAAACCAGCCCCAATATATAATCAAGAAATTCTTTAATATTATTATAACTAGGGTAGTACCCGCGCTCTGCGCGGGATAGTAATATTGAATTTTTTTT